AATCTGGAAGAACTGGACGGCCATTTCGTCCTAGTATTGAACTCCTCACCAGTGCGCATCCACTATCCTGCTTCGCCACTTATCAGTCTCGCGCGCGAACGCTTAACCTTTAGATCACTGAGCTAGTCGATATCCAATGGTGTTAATGTCTAACTTCAACTAACCCATTTTATTTTGTTTGTTTCCAAACATCGAATGTGAACAAATAAAACGTTTTATCGAATAGAATAATATCAAAATTCAGTTGTAAATGGTAAGACTATTCCTAGATTCATAAGTAAAACCGTTAGTCTATGAATTAGAAACCGAAAATTCATAGAATAGATGTATCAACTATGACAATAAATCATTACTTTGTTTATTACCAACCTTATAATCTTAACAGTGGATAATGTAACTATTAAGCCGTTGATTTTTAGCTTCCAATCTATTATCAACTTTCTTATTTACTTTAAAGTCTCAGATGATCCACAAGGGTGTTAGGTACCTGTATGATTACCCCACAGGATTGAACTTATACTATTCAGATTGTAGTGTTTAAGCCTACATGTCGTCTGGTTCTCCTATGGTGTGTGGTTGAGCTGTACTACTCGGGATATAAATTTTAAGCCTGGATGTTGTTTGGTTCTCCTGAAAAACAGGATTGAGTTGTACTGCTCAGGTTAAGCCTGGGCAGTGTTTGGCTCTCCTGTTAAACAGGATTGAACTGTACTCTTCGAGTTATCATGTGAAAGTTTGTATGGTGTCCGATTCTCCCGATAATCAACGTAAAATTACCCTAGCTCACAAGGGTATATTATATAATTGTGAATAAAGTCTCAGAAGACCAAAGGCACTGAAGGTTAATGCTTAAATCAAAACTCTATTGAGATATTTACTTTTGAGCTTTAAGTATATGTCACTTCAAATGTCCTCTGATGACAATACAATATTATACTCAACCTCTTTTAGTGGGGCCCTTCATTTTGACGTCAATTGGGTCACACGATGTTGTCGAAGAGCTCACCACTGTAATGGTCCAGGATTGTATGATTGATTATTATTGAAACATACATATCTTCTATTCTCGTATAAAATTATCGACTTCAATCGCGTTAGTGAATAATGGAATTAAAATAAGTCAAATACAAGAATGGATTCTTGAATACGTATATTTTGTACACTCGTTGATCTGATCAGACAATCAAAGAGACGTAGCGAAGGTATCAAAGAAAAGAGAGCGAAATGAAATGAAATAGATTGCAATGGAGTAGGCTCGTAAACCAACTCGATTTAATCAATATTTATAGTCCGACAAAAATAAACTACAGACAAGTGATGAATATGATAAGAAGTGTACAAACACACACACACACGCTCATATAAATACAGTCAAGGTTGATAAATGGACAATTAACAAGGTCAAAGACGTGACTCGAGAAGAATGAATCAATTGGCCTGTCCAGAAGTTAAAATCAGGTATATGAACTTAACCTAGTAACCGACACTACACTCTAAAACAATTAATGGCGAGACTGTAATTTATAAACAAAACAATCAGATTTACGGTAACAGATTTGGCATTTCGGCGTGGAATCCACTCACCCATTTTGCTAAATAGCGTCTTGGCATTATAGCTGATGTCAGTTCGTGATGAAAAACCGTCAATCTAATTCCTAACCCTAATCATCAACTGTAAATCATAATCCTTATTCTTCAAACTGCTTTATAACCCTAACTTAGCTCTAGTAAGTAGGTAGACACTCTCAAGGTCACTTTAGCGTCACCCAAATGTCGTCGTTTGGCTTTTGCCAACTTACGTTACCTATGGCGAAGGTGAGATATCCGTCTATCAATTAAAGGACGAGTATACTGCACTGCAGTTCGTTCTGTTTTAATTTACGGTTTCAAAACGTGACCATTAAGAGTAAAAGATATTGGCAAGCTACTAGTACCTGACCATAGATGTCTTAGAAATATTGCTCGCATATGCTGGGATCACCAGATAAGTAATATTGAGGTTAGACTCAGGGTATTACGGAATAGTGGTAAATCAGTTGATGAGGTTGTTAATCTTCATCGACTGAGATGGTTAGGCCACGTGTTACGTATGCCTGAACACCGATTACCACGACGCGTAATGCTCATCGGTGTTGGGTATGGTTGGAAGAAAGTTAGGGGTAACCAAACCAAAATGTGGCATCAGTCCATAAAGTCACTCTCTGTCTTGCCTTAAACTATGAGATTAAAATCGCTTCATATCTTTCTTTCTACGAACTAATTCTTCCTTCCTTTATTATATCCATATACACAATCGTTCTTTTATATATTACCACCATTGACTTAACTACTTCTATGAATTCGGTTTTCATCTTGCTGTGCTAATGCGGTATGGCAACATGGACCGATGCATATATGTGCCTTGTCCTACGTTGTAGCTGAGTGACTGACTGACCGTCCGAAAATTACAGCCTCACCCAACTAATGAGTTTAAACTCATTCAGTACAGAAATCTATTGATAATGATAAGGTGAAGTTTACTACTATTTATTGATTTTTAGTGATTACTTGTTAAGTTATAAACAAAATAGTAACCGAACGTTCATATTATTAACGGAAATAGAATATTTTGTAGCTATGTCAACCACCTAAATGAAGTTATTTCAACTGAATTCCTCAATTGAATATTATAAGAATAATCACTGAATTTAATCTACAAGTCGATATACATTCTAAAGAGGTTTACTTTAATAGTAAATACACTTTATGTACTAATACTATGTCTTATATTTTTCAATCACTTGAGGGTTTTCGACTTAGCTGTATGATAGCTATAATCAATAGGAAGAAACGGACATCCAGTGCTTCCACGTTTTCCATGGTGGTCTAACTTCAGTTGACTCATGATCTGAACCATTAAAATTACTACAATCTCCACAAAACACCTCTGATGCCAATCAATATATGCTCACTAGTAACTGGCTTCAAGAGTTATATCCTGGAGGTCTAGTGAGAATCAGTGACCAGTGGAGTTCAACAGGGTCTGTTATGAGATATTAACTCACTGAAGACAATCATGAACGTTGACTCAATTTCATGGATTAGTTGAAGTTAGACATTAACACCATTGAATGTCGGCCAGCTCAATGGTCTGGTGGTTAAGTGCTCGCGCGCGAGACTGGTAGGTGCTGAGTTTAGATCTCGCGAAGCGGGATTGTGGATGCGCACTGGTGAGAAATCCCACAATATGACAAAATGGCCATCCAATTCTTCCAGATTTTCCATATTGGTCTAGCTTCAATTGACTCATGATTTCAACCATTAAAATTACTGTAATATCCACAAAACCGTTCCTGGTACTAACGTTAGAAGTATTTAATAGCTGAATTCATATGACACATGTCTTAGTAATCTAAATCAAGAGTTATTCAATTTTATAAAGTGCGAATAGGATCATGTTTAGCTACATCATTTAAGTATGTAATTAACTAACAGAGTATCTGAAATCTACTTATATAAGATTTAAATTAGTACCTATGTTAGAATGAGTGATTGTTTCATAGATTCATTGATAAAGCACGCTATACTGATTCTAGTCTTATTTTAGTTACAAAAGGGCCCCAAATCCTCTGATGATACCGAGGGTGGGGAGAGTCAGCTCTTCTTTTCCAAATGCTCTCAAACGATCACAGACATACAACCACTATCACACAAGTCCTACTCACTGCCTCTTCGCGGTATTAGTGTTGCTTGCTAAATTAAAAGGATGAAAATTGAATGTTCGACGCTTTACCTGAGTCGATGGATATGGAGGATTCACTCAGGGGAAGTTGGAAAACCCTCATTCCAAATCAGTGCTAAACATGTGCTCCAGGATCCTGAGGAAATAAAGAGCTTATGAACCAACTATTGGTCACCGACTACCATATGACTGCATCTCCTGATATTACTCTATTACATTGTGAATTAGACTTATAGGTCGATTGCTCCGATTGTGGCCCCACTAAGAAAACCACCTACTTCAGTCTGGATACCCATGCAATATCTCATCCCACACACAAATCAACTAACTTATGTCTACGCACGATACTCAACATCCATTGGCCGGATACCATCAACAACAACCTATTGTGGGAGAGAACAAACCAGCTTCCAGCTGAAGAAGAAATTAGGAAAAGACGATGCAAATGAATAGGACATACATTACGCAAATCATCGAACTACATCACGAGGCAAGCCCTAACTTGGAATACTGAAGGGAAAAAGGAAAAGAGGAAGGCCAAAGAACACATTACGTTGGGAAATAGAAGCAGATATGAAAAGAATGAATAACAACTAGAAGGAGCTTAAAGGGATTCCTGAGGACAAGACTGGATGGAGAATGCTGGTGAGCGGCCTATGCTCTTTCACGAGGAGCAACAGGCGTAAGTAAGTAAGTATGTATGTATGTATGCATGTATCACATATGTATTCAGTACCCCTTTTCATCAATATTTATTGATTATTTATTTTATTAATTGTACACATAAAATATTTTTGGATCAATAAAGTACTCTATTGAAATCAACAATTATCTCAAGGTAAAGGCATGTATTACATAACTGATACACTTCAAAAAGATTATTATTATTTCACTGGTTGAAATCATGAGTCAATTGAAGCTAGACCACCATGAAAAACCTGAAAGCACTGGACGGCCTTTTCGTCATAGTTTGGGTTGGTTGTTTGAAGTTAGACATTAACACCGTTGGATACCGGCTCAGTGATCTAGTTGGTTAAACGCCTGGTGCGAGACTGATAGGTGCTGGGTTCGAGTCTCGCGGGGTGAGGGATCGTGGAAGCGCACTGCCGAAGAGTTCCATACTACGATAAAAACGGCCATCCAATGCTTCCAGGTTTTCCATGATGATCTAGCTTCAATCGACTCATGATTTCAACTAATGAAATGACTAAAATCTCCACAAGACCCATTCTGATAATAATAATAATAATTATTATTATCATTACATCATAAGACTTACTTCAGATTGTTTAGACATACATGACAATTTAGATCCCATATTTCATTAAATTGTTGTTTATTATATAGATTAATATGTTTATATAAACAAGCAATTTAAGATAGATGTTAATAAATCCAAAATGATGATATAGAATTTTTCTATTATTAATTGAGTTGATGATTGTTTCTTGTTAGATATGTCAATGTTTTAAAAGTAATTCCAGTGTAATAGATCAATATTACTGTTGCTGACACGGATCCGGATACGGTTGCTGATGCGGTTGCTGATACGGTTCCTGATGCGGTTGTTGTTGTTGCTATGCGACTATTATCACTGTAAACTCTATTTTCTTTTGAATGTAGACACTAGATAATCTATGTACTAATGTTTCAAATATAGAATTTTTGCAAATTTATACCCTATTTATTGTATAGTTGCTTAAATATGAACAATCATACATTAGATAAGAGAGTATGTATATCACCTACGTACAATCATCATAATATACATTTCTCATAAGGTCAAGTTAAATATGAACAAGATTTTGATAGACGGACAAATTTATGTATTAAGTAGTATGATATATACATTGACAATAATCAATTTATAAATTTTTTGTCAATGTTATATATGACTGAATAAGTAACCAATGGAAAGGAACTATTATGAATGTATATGTAACTATGTGTATATATATATATTTGTGTATCCATGTGTATAGGAGGTACTTTTTTGCTTAGCAACTTGTAAGTGTTACAATGTGGTACATACATGCATGTTTACACGTGTCTATCATGTACAGAAAACATAATATATATATATAAAGAAAAAGATCTATAGCATTGATGATGGTGATGATAGTAAGATTCAATGTTCAGAATGAGGTTTGTGAAGAACTGTGTTAATTTTCAGTAGTTGAATGTATATATCAATGTAAGCTAGATCATCATTGGGAAACTTGGAAGTATTGAACGATTGTTTTGTTCTAGCAGTACATATTCACGGTCATGCACATGAGGACTCGAACCTGGGATATTCAGTCTCATGTGCGAATATTTAATCTCTAGACCACTGAGTTAGCATCCAACGATATTAATATATAACTTCAATCGATCCATGAATGGCTACGCAACTTTTCTGAGATAGATATTTGTCTCTATCCGATATGGATTGGACTCCAGTGGTTATGGCTTCTCATTTGAATAACAGGAAATCATCTTGAAGTCATTCATTAGTGAACATATGATGATTATGATCAGAATGAGGTTTGTGAAGAATTGTGATAATTTTCAATAGTTGAATGTATATATCAATGTAAGCTAGATCATCATTGAAAAACTTGAAAACGTTGGACGATTGTTTCATTCTAGTAGTACACATTCAAGATCATGCGCATGGGGACTCGAACTTGGGATATTCAGTCTCACGTGTGAACATTTAATCTTTAGACCACGATGTTAATGCGTAACTATTGACCCATTGTCTGAGGTAGATACTTGTCTCTATCCGACAAGGATTGGACTCCACTTGTTATGGCATCTTACAAGAATTATAGGAAATCGTCTTGAAGTCATTCATTAGTGAACATATGATGATTATGATCAGAATGAGGTAATTTTAATAGTTGAATTCATGAATCGATATAAGCCAGGACGAAATGGCCATCCAGTGCTTCCAAGTATCTATGGGTGGTCTAGTATATATCGACTAATGAATTTAACTATTAAAATATTTAATGTGTTTGAAGAATTATTAATCATAAAACTAATGGTATTAAACAGAATAAAACAGGGAAGTGAACATCAACTCTGGGATAAAGGTAAATCGAGCTGAGGAGTCCCAAATAGAACAGAACGCATGTCGTGGACTCCATTGCTAGCTACTATTCATCTTTACTTATAATGCTTGTGACTTAAGGCAATATATCAAGGCAATCCGTATAGGATGCAGATATACTAATAAGAGACTGATCAATTTCAGTCCTAAACATCAATGTGAAGATTCATGTAAACAATATCAAGTGAATATAAAACATAGATATTCCTTGTATTATCCGACCTGATTTCCTTGAGGGCTGTGATATTTATGCTGATTGACCATTGAGTAACTAAGTAACTAACCTTGTCCCCGTCTAATTACCAGATCGTCCAAACTTATAGCTGAATTGTAACTTTATGGATATCATTAAATCAATACTAAGGGTATAGTATGCTTGACACTGATAATCTGTTGTTTGGAAGAGTCAAAGGCAAAATTTTATTGAACAGGGTATACTAAGATAGAATTGAAATGTAGAAAGTCGTCCACTAGGTCCAATGGTTGAAAAAACAAGCAATCATATGTCTTCAAGGTTTACATTGACAATTATAATCTAATGTCTGCCATAATACTGAACTAAGCCCAGTATTGCTTCTAGTACCTACCAGATTTCTACCTTTATTCTTTAAATAAACGTCATAGTTTATCAGTAAATGTTCTTAATAAAAATCCTTCAACAACAGATCAGGAAAACCAGTACGTCGAAAACTCCTTTCAATGAAGATGGTTCTCAATTTAATGTGATACCACATCGCCGTGAGTTAGAGAATGCTAATGTGCATTTTGTTCCAGTTTAGAATTACATATCAATGATCATTGGAAACTTAATTACACCTGTTACTCCTCCTGGAGGAGAATAAGTCACACACCAGCATTCTCCATCCAACCCTGTCCTCAGAAATCCTTTCTAGTTCTTTCCAGTTGATATTCATCCTTTTCATGTCTGCTTCCTATTCCTGACGTGGTGTGTTATTTGGTCTTCCTCATTTCCATCTCCCTTCAGGATTCCAAGTTAACGCTTGCCTATCGATTTCCATCGTCTTTTCCTAATTGCCTCTTCAGTTGGAATCTGGTTTGTTCTCTCCCACAGTAAGTTGTTGCTAATCGCATCCAGTCAACGGATAATGAGTATTTTGTGTAAACAATTGTTTACAAATACTAGTACATTGTTAATGATGGTTGTGATAGTTCTTCAAGTTTCAGCTCCGTACAATGCAATTCAATATCTGAAGGTTTGCATTGAAGATTTTGATTTTGTTATTGACTGACAGGTGTTTCATTTCCATAGTCGTAATGTAGAGTGTATAATGCTCTATTTACTATTGACGTTAATCAAATAGTAATGACTATTCCTAATAATAATCTGTCATGATGAAGTAAAAAATAGAGAAGTGTAATAAGAAGCTCTATCTTTACACCTCTATTGGACATGGAATACTATACTGATAAAAATGTTACAGTTACAATTATATGCTAAATCCTATTAGATAAATCTCATTACTTCAATAGTTTACATTCCTCAAATGCCCTGGTACGACCGAAAATGGGGAGAGTCAGATCTCCCCCTCAAACTGCTCTCAAATGGCCACGCTTATACAGCCACTGTCAGGGAACTCCAACTAGGTACTTTTTCGTGGCATCACTGTTGTTTACGAAATTGAGAGGATGAAAAGTGAATGTCCGGCACTTTAACCGTGTTGGTGGATCCACCTAGGAGAGTTGAAAAACCTTCATTCCAAACCTATGCTACACATGGGCTCCAGTATCCTAAAGGAACAAATCGCGTATGAACCAATTATTGGTCACCGTCTACCATGAGATTACATCCCCTGACGTTGCTGCACTGCCTTGTGGATCAGACCTTTAGGTCGAATGTTCCTGGTGTGATCCCCTAAGAAAACCAATTTTTTCGGTTTGGGCACCCAGCTAGTATCACAGCCAACACACAAATCAAATGACTTGTATGGCACATATGTATTCTGTGCCCTTTTGTACCAATGTTTCCGTGTTCAAGTGAACAGATCCAGAGCAAACTTAATCATTTCTATCTTATCGAACGAACATCTTGTTTGTAACCTATAAAAATCTGACACTTTATTACTATCAGTTTAGAAAGATAATTAAAACTCAGTAGCTAAATGGATAACACGATGGCATTTGAAGCGAACGGTACTGGGTTCGAGTCTCAGAGTAAACATCAACTCTGTAGATGCAGATACATCCAGCTGACGAGTCCCACATAAGACGAAACTCGCCTCAAACTAGATTCCACTGCTAACCACCATCCATATTTTCTGCTAAGCTAAAACAGTTTTCTAAGTTCATTATTGATTATCCTTACTAACTTATTCAAATGTACTAACCAGTTTTACAAGGCATAAATCATTCATAGATAATAAAAAGAGTTTAACAATGTATTACCTTAATTACATTGATTATCAATGTACTAGTTACAGTGACTCATTTGTAAACTCTTTTGTCTATATATACGCTGTTTGTCTGACAACTGTCTGAATTTAATATTTCTCTTCCCTTTTAACTATTACCACCATTACTAGTTATGTTGATATGTTTAAGTGTTATATAGTAATAACAGTACACACATTTTGAATGATTTTTTTTTTCCAATAGTTGAGATCATGCATCAATTGAAACTAGACGAACATGGAAAATCTGTAAGTGTTGAATGGCCGATATGTTCTATTGTAGGACTTCTCACCAATACGCATACACGATCACACCTCGCGGGACTCGAACACAGGACCTATCAGTCTCACACCCGTGCACTTAACTACTAGGGCCATTGAGATGGCCGGCATTCAATGGTGTTAATATCTACCTTCAACTAATCCATGAAATTGAGTCTCCGTTCATGATTGTCTTCAGTGAGTTAATATCTCATAACAGACCCTGTTGAACTCCACTGGTCACTGATTCTCACTAAACCTCCAGGATATACCTCTTGAAGCCAGTCACTAGTGAGCATATATTGGTTAGTATCATAAGGTGTTTTGTGGAGATCGTAGTAATTTGAATAGTTGGTATTATGGTTGAATTGACGTTAGACCACCATGGAAAACCTGGAAGCACTGAATGGCCGTTTCGTCCCATTGTAGGACTCGTCAGAAGTTTTTTTCACAGGAAATATCAAATGAATGATTGGTTTAAAAAAAGTGCATTAGTAATAATTGGAATATGCATATTTATGGAGTATATTAATACAAAAAACTCAATAATGA